CCGTCCGCCCGCCCTAGCGTCAGTCGGTCCCTGGGCGACTGGGCCCAGCCTCCTGCGCCGCTGCTACTGCAGCCGCCTCTGTCTTGCGGGCGGAAGCGAGCCTCGCTCTCACCACCGCCCCGGAAGTGACGTGAGGCGCGTCCGGGGGCGGGGCAGGGCTAGATCTGGGGCGGGTTCTGAACCTGAGTTGAGTTTATCCAGTTCGTTCATTGGTTCCTTTTTTTGGTTTTTTGGGTGGTTTTTTGCCTTTTAAAATTTTTTGTTATTTTATTATTGTCTCTCTTTTACTTTTGTTTTTATTAGAGTTTTTTCACTAAGCTACATCCACGACCCCTTTTACATTTTTTTTTTTTTTTATTTTGAGACTTAAAATCAATAAATTGCCCGGGCTGGGCTTCAATTTGTGATTCCCCCTGCCTGAGCCTGCTGGGAGTTCTGAGATTACAAACATGCGCCACCACGCCTGGCTGTATCGTTTTATTTTTTTTCCCTTGGTTTTGTTTTGTAGTTGTTTTGGTTGGTGAGTGTGTGTGTGTGTGTGTGTGTGTGTGTGTGTATTTTTGTGTTTTTTTTTGAGACAGTCTCACTAAGTAGCCTAGGGTGGCCTCTAACTCAAAGGGACCCTTCTGACTCAGCCTCGGGCATACACCACCAAGTCTAGCCTCTTTTTGTTTTCTTACTGTTGGTTGTTTTGTTTTGTTTGTTTTTGAGACAGGGTTTCACTTTGTAGTGCAGGCTGGCCTTGAACCCACTAGGTACCCCAAGCTGGCTTTAAATTCACTGCACTCCTCCTGCCTCAGCCTTCTGGATGCTAGAATTACAGGCATGCACCATCATGCCTGGTTTATGTGTTATTTTGAGAGAAAATCTTGCTAAATTGCCCAGGCAGGACAGAAATTTGTGATCCTCCTCCCTCAGCTTCCCCTGGCGTTATGATCATAGTTACAGTTGTGAACCGCCCTGCCCCACAGATTATTTTTGTATTTTTAATATATTGCATTCAATATTATTAACCCTGACAGTTGAAATTTGGGGCACTCCTTAAATTTGGTACCTGGGACAAGTGCCAGGCCTGCTCCAAACCCTGCCTTTCCCCAAAGGCAGCTGGAACCCCTCCTGGCCCAGGAGAGCTAATCTCATGCCCCACTTCTCCAGATAAACTTGAGGCTGGGGATCATAGATAGACCAGCCCCCCCCACACACACACACAGACACACACACATTCCCAGAAGTCAGGAATCAACTGCTGGAGAAGACTGGGGTTCAGTCCTTGGGAGGTGGATTTGGGCCATTTTATGGCTCCCCAGAGTGTTGTCCCATCTCTGGCCTCCAGCAATTCCTGCTGCCTCCCTGAGCAGGAGAGGTGACTGCCAAAAGGCACTCCCTATCTGCTGGGCACTTTTTTTCTTTTTTTGTACTGGGGATAAAAACCAGAACCTTTGCACTGAGATATTCTTTATTTTGAGAAGAATCTTGCTAAATTGCCCTAACTGGGTCCCAATTTGCGGTCCTCCTGCCTGAGCCTCCTACAGTGCTGGGATTTCAGGTTTTACTACACAAGCAGCTCTGCTGTGCCCCTTAAAGTTTCCTGGGATTAAGATTCTTCCCAGGTGCAAAGGTCAGAACAGTTCCTTGTGACTTCCTTGAGGACCAGGATAAGAGAAGGGCTGCCCTTCAGCCCCATTTTTCTCTTCAGGCCTGTCACCCAGAGCTAGGAGGAGCCAGGGCTGGACACATCAGAAAACCCAGCTCTGCCAGACATGGTGGCGCATGCCTGTAATCCCAGCACTCAGGAGGCTGAGGCAGGAGGACCGCTGTGAGTTTGAGACCAGCCTGAGCTACATAGTGAGTTCCAGATCAGTTTCAACTACATAGTGAGACCCTGTCTCAAAAAAACCAAAGGAGAAAAAAAAGAAAACCCAGCTCTGCCTACAAGGAGAACCAGGAGGAACACAGGAGCCACTGTGAAGGGCAGGACCCTAGGAAGTAGCAACGAGGCTCCACTTCCCAGTCAAGTGGAGCCTGTTTCAGGCCCTCTGTAAAAGCTAAAGCCTCTGCAGCAAACCTCCAATGTGTCAGAAAGATGCACAGCATTTATCTTCCCTAAGTAGCCTATGAAGAGCCAGGCCTTGTAATGCACACCTGTCACCCCAGCATTCTGGGAAGCTAAGGCAAGAAAAATCACAAGTTCGAGCCCAGCCAGGGCAACTTAGCGAGACCCTGTCTCAAAATAAAAAGTAAAAAGGGCTGGGGACGGAGCTCAGTACAGAGGTCCTGGGTTCAATTCATTGTCTCGAAAATGAAACAAAACCCAAAACCTTGCAATAGCAGCTGGACACGATGGCACATGTTTGTGCTCCCAATTCTAGGGAGGCTGAGGCAGGAGGTTTGCCATGAGTTCGAGGCCAGCCTGGACTACAAAGCAAGACTATCTAAAAAAAAAACAGAAACAAACAAAAAGATCAACAACAACAACAAAGCGACAGGGCCAAGCAACTATGGACAGGAACATCTAACACTGGGAAGTAAGAAGAAACCTATCTGCTGCCATGCCAGCCTGGCAGGAGCAAGGTCCTGAGTTTGACCTCTGGTATTAAAAAGAAAGAAAGAAAGAAATCTTCATAGATGTTGATTATGTCGGGGTTGTTATGCCAGAGAGGGAAGGCTGACTAATAGACTGTGTGGGTGTTTAGGATGAGATTAGCAGGGCACTAAGAGGACCTACCCTGGGCAATATACAGGTGTGGAGGCCACACTGTCCAGGGAAGGTGGGGACAAAACAAAAAGAAGAGGAAAGGGTAAACCATCACTGTCTCTGTCTCTCTGTCTCTCTTTGGATTGAAACCCCTACTTTGGGATATTGGTGATCCTGGTCCTTAAGTCTACAGACTCAGGCCTTGACCTACACTATCAGCCTGCTGTTGTTTGACTTCACTGAACTGCGCCACCGTTTCTGCTGATTTCCAGCTTGCCCTGGGCATCCCAGGTTTCATGATCACATGGGTCAATTTCCATGATTCGTCTTTTTTTATATATCTCCAGCTCTTCGATATTTCTGTTTCACTAAAGAACCCTGACTAATAAACCTAGTTCAAAATCCAAAAGGTTGTCTGGTGCTTTGGTACATACCTATCATCCCAGCACTCAAGAGGCTGAGGCAGGAGGATCACCATGCATTTGAGGCCAGCCTGAACCACACAACAAGATCCTGTCTTAAAAAAAAAAATAATCCTGGGCTGGGGATTTAGCTCAGTGGTTCTGTCACCTGCCTTGCAAATGCGAGGTCCCGAGTTGGATCTCCAGTACCAAAAATATAAATAAAAATAAAATTAAGAATAAACCCAAAAGTTTGTTTATTAAAAATATCCTGACAGCTGGATGTGGTGGCACACATCTCTAATCCCAGCTATCTAGGAATGTGAGCCCAGCCTGGCCTATTTATTTATTTGTTTATTTTTGTTTTTTATTTTTTTGTTTGTATCAGGGATCAAACTCAGCCCCTTGCGCTTGCAAGGCAGGCGCCGGCATGACAGAGCTAAATCCCAGGCCGTTTGATCTTTTTTTGGTACCGGGGATTGAACTCTGGACTTTGTGGTTGCAAGGCAGGTGTTAGAACCACTCAGCTAAATCCCCGGCCCTCTATTTAATCTTTTTGAAGCAAAATCTTGCTATATATTTCAGGCTGGCCTTCAGCTCACTATGTAGTCCAGGTTAGCCTCAAACTCGTAGTGTTCCTCTTGCCTCGGCCTCCTCAGTGTTGAAATTATAGGCATGCGCTGCCATGCCTGGCAAACTGGACAATTTAGTGAGATGGTGTCTCAAAACAAAAAGGAAGAAGGAAGGGTGGGGATGGAGCAAGGCGTGAGGGCCCAGGTGGGACAGTCCCCATGCACTGTCAGGAGCCATTGGAGCACATTTCTGGAAAGGCCCATGCTGCCACAGGGAAATACTCGTCTCCTCTGCACAAAACCGCACCACAACAGGACAATAAGGCGACCCTGGGGCCTGAGGTCACCAGGAATGTTTCCTGTTCTTCAGGACTTGATGTGGTTTCTGAGTTTGCTTTGGTTTTGATTTGCAAAGGGTGTGTTTCACCAGCCTAAAGCTGAAACATAACTAGATTGATAAAAGAAGTCTTACCCTTTTTTCTTGCAAAATTTTTCCAGTACTAGGGGTGGAACTGAGGGTCTCCACACTGAGTTTCACCCCCAATCCCCCCCGACTTTTTTTTTAACTTTGAGACAGTGTCTCACTAAATCATTAAGTTGCCCAGGCTGGGCTCAAACTTGAAATCCTCCTGCTTCGGCCTTCCAGAGTGCTGTGATCACAGATGTGTGCCACCCTGCCCAGCCAGGAGACATGCCATTAAGTATTAATGTTTCCTGCAACCAGTGGTCATTTGGAAAATCTTTTTGTGTTCATATACTGAGCCTTTGCAAGGGTTGACTACCTGGGCTTTACTGCATTCTTTGTGGACTTCACATGGATCACAACTTCTGGATAAGAAGGCTACAGCTATTAAAGTGTCAGTGAGAACCTCGAAACCAGCTCTACTGGATTCCTATCCGAAATCCTGCAGAAAGCCAGCCATCTCGGTTCTGATCTGCTATAAAAAAATGAAGATTTACGTGACCTTAATTAACCTGTCCTGTGCCCTATCCTAAGAAGTACTCTGTAGTAAGCTGTGGCTACCTTAGACTTTTTGGACCATGCCACTTTCAAAAGGACTGATGTGTTCAGAGCATCTGAACACAGTAGGGCTGTGATTTATAATTTCAGTTTTTATTTATCGTCTGAGGTAACTACAAATTAAATTTTCCCCAACTTGAGTCCACCCAGTGGAAAAGGGGGTAGGCTGGGGGAATAACTAGTTTCCTTCATTGGTTTTGTTTCAT